CAAAAATAAGGTTCGTCCGCTCAATTCGCCCATCCTTACAACGTGACCCCTGCTTTTCCGAAAACTTCTGAGAAGCTCCAATAGCCGTTGAAAGCAATGGAGGCGGAATACGGCCGTGTACGACAGTATGGCGATGCATCACTGCCCAGCTTCTTTCCAGCTGCTTCGCACTTTTCCTCACTTCTATGATTCTCTGCTCGCGTGGACATGTCGACTCTGAAGAGAGGCTAGCAACCCTCAATTCTGTCACCTATACAAAGCCGGCATAGACCTTATTCCCTAACGTAAGTAGCCCACGACACAACCCCCTAATTAGGGTCCTACTTTTCGTCACTTAAGACTCTCACTCTCACTCTCGCACACAGCGGGCAAGGCTTCGGTCGGTTAGTCGAATTTCGGACTCAACTGACAATGAGTACACGGTTGCCTTGCAATGTCTGGCCTGCTGATGCAGGCTGCAGGTCTACCGTGTCCAGCCCACACAGGTCTAGCGTGCTTACGCCGCAGCGCCGACATCAAAAAGCCGAAAAAGCAGACTTGGAGAGGCAAATTTCTCTGTTCCTCGAACACAGGTCCGCGTCCACATAGCACCACTTGTTCTCGCAATAGTCGTGCGCATTGTCGAGGCAATCGATGCCTCCATGGTTCGCGCCCCGATCATAAGCCTGACAACCTTGAGTGCCATAGTCTTGCGGAAGCCCAACAGCGGCCAAATCTCTTTGCAGTTGCTCAAAGCCGCTGGAGCTGCTGCTGATGCACGGGCATTCAGGCTTGCCAGCAAGGCCCGCGAGTGAAATGTGGGGGGCGGCAAGGGACAAATGGGGCCCTAGATGAGCACAAAGAAGCACGATTGGCTTCATGCTAATGGAGCAAAAGCTCGACCTGAAACGACACAGCAGCACAAAGCACACAACAAGAAAGGCCGAGTCTGTCGTCACGTCACGGTCATGAGAGTGCTCCTACGCGAGCTTCTCAGATTCTCAAAACTGCTAACTGTCCCGTCAATGTCCCCTAACTAATGCGATTATTTTCAAGATGACCTCCCAAAGAAGACTCCTGGTTATGTGCGTGGTGCTCAAAGTTGCGCTCCCCGCGTCCCATGAACCCGTCCCATGAACCGCCCCTTGCGCCCGCCATGCCCACACTCCTTTTTTTTGCTTCGAAATCGGGGTTCCGCCGTCCCGTGCATGAGCTCCTCTCGCCCTGCAGCCTTGAAATTCTTCTTGGCAGGGTAAAAAGGAGTCAAGATGGTGCCAAGGCATTGCTACAGACTTTTTCGGTACACCCGTCAGAAGAACAGGACGACAAGAAACACATGCGCAGCATTTCGCAGTGCATCCATCCATCCAATTTTGTCAAGCGTCCGACTGAAAAGCATGTCCCCCACACTCTGCTCTCCAAAGAAAAATATTCAGGCCAGGTTGGAGAGCAGCTGCGGCCCCCGCAATCAGCTGTGAGAGCCCCTGGGATTGAAATCTTATGGAGGTGATGGGGAGGTGTGCGAAGCTGCTCGGGCCGTGCTCTTGGTTTATGGAGCGGGTTGGAGCAGCTATACTTCAGCTCAACCAGTGCCGAAGGCAGCGCTGCGCGACGCTGTTTTCGGGCATGAGTATAAATTCTTTGGAGGCTGAAGAGCAGCGCCCTTGTATTGGCACAGAGAGTTGTCAGCATTGAGCCTTCTGCTTGTTTCATGCTCCTTCAAACAGGGCTGCGTGGCAAATCAACATGATACCCTCGAGCACGCCCACCAACAACAAAAACTCTTCTCGACGATGAAGGCGTCAGCTGCAGCTATGTCAAACGTCAAGCACCCCCCCCGCCATTGTGTTCCATAGCCCTGGGCACTTATTTGACGCAACGCTCGGTCTGGCCTTTTCAATTGACAACTGTTCCGTGGCCCGGTGCCCTCAGAAGGTCTTGGAGGGCAAACCCACGCCGTGACCCACCGCGTCTATGGCAAAGAACCGCCCATCGTGTCGCAATGGTCCTCCTTCGTACCGCGAACGGTTGTGTCTCATTCTTGGACCACGAGAGTGTGCGTGATAGAGCAGCTGTTGCCCCGGGTGGCAGGGCAGTCCACAGCTTAGATCACTGCCAGGCCGGTGATGACAATGACGGCACCATAGAGCTGCTGTGGAGTGGGCACCTGGGGTATATCACAACTGCTAGCTTTACTTCACTTTCCGCACCACTACACCTTGTGAGCCTGTAGACGCATACGTCTATGCAGAGGGCCTTCACAGCCACCATCACAAAAGAGCCGTCGGCTCGACCCTGTTGAGTTTCAAGGTGATCGTGAAAAGGCTGGTTTGAGGATGAACGACTCGCGTGCATTAACATCTGTGTGGTCTGTGGCACCGGTCGGAGACATACTAAGTAGCATACTAAGTATGCCTTTCAACCATCCCCAAGACCATTGTTGCACAGGAAAACTCGAACTTGTTGTTGCAAACTGGTACACAGTGTACCCAGCATGCGTCTCCAAACAACGCGGCTCCAAACATGAAGCACATGCAGTGTGCTGGCATGCTAAGCTATTCGGAAGCGGAATGCTCTCCAGATGAACTGGCCTCGCCCAGTAGCAGAGCAGCAAGAAATGAAGCCGCAAGCGGTTCCAAGAGAATAGCAGCTGCGACCTCAGCTGAGCATCTGCAAATGATGATGAGTGATGTGTCCGGTGCGTACAGCACTGGCGAACGTGCTGCCTAAACACTGTTGCCGCAGGCAGGTACTCGAGGGCAAAGTTGAAGCCGATGTGCCCCGTAAGCTGTGGCCCAACAGCAAGTGCGCACACAGCGAGCCAGTGGCGTTCACAGGTCGGCCACAATGGCGTTCCTTCAGGGGGCACAATTCATCTACATGGGACAGGCACCGACAGCCACCAAATTCGAGTCGCTCCTGTCACCAATGCAACAAGGGCCAGACAGGCGGCAGAGCAGCCGCAAAGACGTGTGCCGTAGCAGCCAATGCCCACACGCTGTCTTACGTCTCGCCCAATTCTCGGTGGACATCAAGCAGAACGGAGTAAATGGAAAGAAGTGCAAGTAATTCCCAAACAAAGTTGAACTCAGTTGCCCATGTCTGCAAGCCATGACTCGACAAATAGATGGCACAGAAAATGCCCCCAAGCCTTGGTGCGCAACTCTGCACTGGAAACGTGTGTGCTGTGTGCCTGTCTACCAAGGACGAACTGAGGCTAATATCATCTGTCGGTCTAATCGAGATTTTCAAGCAAATAACTTGGGACTTCGGCATTGGCCAGGGCCTTGCTTCAGCGCGGCATCCCCGAAAACTGTTCGCTATGTGACCTGTCCCATGGCCTTTGGGTTGCAAGTTTCGGCCCCAGGCTCTAACACTGGCGCGCTACAGCTACTCGATCCTACACGACAGTAACAGGATTGGTGCTTGATATTCCTCAACGGGAGATGTCGTGAAGACGCGAATGTCAAGTCCGAAGGCATCAGGAGTGCACTGCGCGTCTACTCGACCGCCCTCAACGCAATGCGATTATCTCGTGCCTAGAATGCTTATCGATGTGAACGTGAGTCTGCGCCCAGGCGCAAAGCCAAGAGGTCGCCCAGCAAGTCTCCATGGGACGAACCAGCGCCCGCACTACACCCGAGTCCTTCGCGTGAGTCCATGAGGGAAGACAGATGGGCGCGCCCTGATTCCAAAATTGCTACTGGAACGGGGGTAAAGCAGACGCTGAAGGGGAAGTAGAGTGTTGCTTCAGGAACGGTTTGTGTGAGGCGTAGGATGCCGATTCGTGAGAAGGCAACACATTGATGCACGATACTGCTTCGATTCGTGGGGGTCGAAATGTAGAGGAACCGACCCATGAGAAGCTCATATACTGGAGCAGCTTCTGAATCCCCATTGTTACAGTACAAGTATGGATCGCGGCTTTTGAATCTGAGGTCAGGCTGGTGGGTAGTTGCCGGAGTGGGGACCGACAGTTTTTGTTGTGGACTTGTGAATCTCGGCTTCTGAATGGTTGGTTTCCGACCCCGGCAATTACACATGTTTGAAAATCGTCTGCTGAAACGCAGCCACCTCCGATTGCAATGCCGACGCCGAGCCAGAAGCGCCCGGTAGGGACATCTTCACCTCATCCAACGTGCAGCGACAACGGCAGCCACGCGAAGACTTTGGCAAGCTGGTCTTGAGAGGAGCAAGAAGAGGAGTCATCCCGAATCTTCGCCCAATTGCTGCACGATTCTCAGCACGCCCCGGCCTGTGACAAACGCAAGAAGGCCAGCCCAGATGGGGCTCAAGGATACGAGCAACGTCGAACGAAGCACCTTGCAACTCTTTTGACAGCACAGAGTTGACACAGCCCTGACACAAACTCTGACGGACCGGATGCTCTGAGGCTTAGTATTGTGGCTACATGCCAGAACATTCATCGTCCTGCCGGGTCCAGTGCTGCGAGGTCCCTGTTCGCTTATGGTCGGATAGCCAGGTTCAGGCAATGGCGTGGAGAACAGCTTAGCCGCCGACGGTAGTTCGCTGCACTGATGCAATCCTGCCCAACCCCCTTGCGTAACCACTGTGCGTGCTGAAACCCAGTGTCTGCCTCGTGTGCAATCAAGCCGCCATGTCCAAAAATGAAAGGCCAAGGCAATGCCTGCCAGCGCTGCGAGCTTGGAGTCCTTCCTTGAGGCGAGGGAGAGGCTTCCCCGGCTTCCCCGGCTTCCCCGGCTTCCCCGTCAAAGCAGAGCAGGGGGGTCAGAGCCTCCCCAGCGATCGCCCAAAGGGTGCCAAAGCCACAGATGCCAGACTCGTTCGCCAGAAGGCCATCTCAGACGCTGCGAGGGGCACGTGTGAAGCGGGGATAGATGCTTCTGGATGTACAACTGTCTTACAACATTTCGCAAGTTCGACAGCGCCAAGTGCATGAAACTGCAGTTTCGCGGCGTGCTCGCCAGCTCCACATGCTGTGACTTGCAGTGGTCGCATCCGGCAATTCCAGCCATGGAAAAAAGTGGTACTTGCATGTTCCGACAAGTCCCTTATCAATTTGCTAAAGTATCTTCCCGGCATTGCATGTTGCATCAACCCGTTCAACAAGCCAGGAAGCCAACAAGCCAAGAAGAGAGCTGAAGCTAAGAAGCCAGGAAGCCGAAGCAGGAAATCTAGGCAGAAGCCACGTGAAGCCTACGACTGCACTTCTTTGTTTCCCAACACCTCTATATAATGCACTCTTCAGGAAAAGCGCCCCTTCAGTATAAGCACTACACATCACACGAACAACAAACAACCTCCGAAGTCTCGACCGCTCAGCCGCCCCAACATGTTTGCCCCAAAGTGGCTGCCAGTGGCGGTAGACCGTGTGCCAGTCGAACGAAAATGGCGCCACTGCTGGCCGCCAGCACTGCCTGGGTGCTCGACACTTGCATTTGAGAGCGCTGTAGGCTCCTGCTTGGCATCTTCAAGACAGGCGGCTACCAGAAGCAGCACTGAAACGGCCGATTTGCCCGGAGCGGCATCAGAGGCCATCGAATTCTACCTGTGCTATACCAAGCCGAAGATGCCTCTGAGCATAGGGATGTCCTGACAAAGCCATCACTAGTCGATCGCTAGGCTGCAGGTCCGCGTGTGAGCGTCTTCAGGTTGGTATTGGCAAAGCAAGATGGGAATTGCCAACTCAACGACTCTATGAAATTGATTAGGTACCTCCCTAAACGAGAATCAAGGGGAACGTCCCAGCCGGAGTTCTATCTCGTTCATTGGGATGGCACTGGGCTGCAGGAAGGCAAAGTGTCGACGTGGGTGCGGATTCTGAGATATAGGCTTCAGCGCGGCAATAATGTTGCGGAAAGGTGCCCTGCAGGCGTCGCTTGCAACCACGGGGCGGGGGCTCCACAACACCGAAACTCCAAATCAAGCCTTCCTCTACGTGTACGGACTGGATGCAGGAGAGAACTCAAAAGAAGTAGCAGACTAGGACTAGGAGAAACCACACTGCCAGGGCGCCAAGGTATTGGCCAGCACTGAGCATCTTGAATAGGTGCTTTGTTTGGCTCTAGATTCGCAGCCAACGACCCTCCTGCGCATGATTTTGAGAAGCTGAAGAGCAAACCTGACATTGCAAAACATCCCTTTTGAGAGTACACAGTTTGCGCACGTTCCACGTAGCGTGGGAACCATTGCGCTGAATAGCCACAGAAACTCTCGGAAAGCCCTGCCGTGTCAGCTCAGCACCTTAGCTACTGACCTGACAAGGCCTGGCTGTGTGGTGCTTTCGCGGACACCTATGCGCATCCTCTGCAAGGATGTCTTAACCCTGCGGGGTTGGTCCATGAATGGACTGTGGCAGCAATGCCTGCACACAACAACTGCGTAGTAAAACGAGTCTGAGAAGAGACCTGTCTACCCATGGACAAACCCCACTGACTCGGAACGCACCTGGAGACTATACGGCCTGGGCCAGGCCCGCTCAAAAATGATTCTGATTAGAGGAAAACCACACATGCTGCAAGGAGGCTGACACGGTCCACTGCTACAGCTTCTCTCTAGTTGATCTACCTGATCAAGAGTATCTGAGCAAGTCATATTACTTGCATACACTTGCCAAATGGTGCAGCCTTCACAGACCTTCGCCGTGAGGATGCTTGCAGCCACCAAGACCGTGACACACTCGAGCTTGTAGCATACGGCAACGCATATGGCAACCGGAGTCTAGATAGTCTAGATCAGGAGATGCAAACTAAGTTTCATCAATGCACAGGAATGACAGCTCGTCTCTACTGCTCGAGATGCACTAGAATCGAGCGGAAGCCAGGAACCTTATCCACACTTAACTTTGTCTAGCTCTGCTCGAACTTTACCGTCTCATCATGGCCAGGGCGAGGAAATCGCACAAACAACTGCCCATAAACACATGTCGCTACTAACAGTTGCGTTAACGATTCACCTATGCTACACGCTTACGGTTCAGCTGGCCAGATGAACGTATACAAGATGGTGCAACATTAAAGCTGGTTCATGCTGTTTACCTCAGGCAAACGGAAACCAAGCCGTCTGGGATGAAGATCCATTTGGTCAAGCCGTTTCGCCAAGTTCCTCATGAGAACGCCTTTGTCGCACAAGCTGATTTCTCTCTCTCTGGAGCTTGTTACCTTGTAACCTGTCTGCCTGAGCGTCTTTGCACGAAGCCAAGTGTCGAAACTCATCTTCATTGATCAAGCTGTCTCCATCGGTATCTCCAAGCTGCAGAACGCTTTGCACCGAGTCACTGCAACCCAACACCCTTGGTTTTGCAACTCTGCCGCTTGCATTGCTGTAAGGTGCCTCTTTGGAAGGACTAGCACGCTCTTTCTTGCAGCCATGGAATCCTATACAGCTCGTGCGGAGCTATGTGCCCCGTCTGATCAATGTCCAGGTAGTGGTATACCTCCAGATTTGGGCAAGTCATCATCGAGCAAGCATAAACCGCAGCCGGGCCACGGTGATGGCAAGGGTGTTTTCGCGTCTGATGGAACCGGGCGCCTGCTTAATCGCCTTGTCAGTGGCCAAAGCTGAAGGCTGCATTGTTGCAGCTAGCCACTCGGTGTAGTGAACCTTTCCTCCGGCACATCTGCATCAAAGCGTTTTTGCTAGAGTTGCAGAACAAGTACTGCCTGATTCAGCTACTCTGCACGCAACAACGAATACACATGGACAAGCAGAAACTGGCATGCTTTGTTAGCAGCCTTCGGCACTGTCCCTTTCTCAAAGCAGCAGCTGCTGTAACAACTACTCTGGGATGTCTTGCTGGCGGACTCCCAGTCATCCTGTTCCATCAGCATCTAGCGCAGAGAAGATTTCGTTTAGTTCGGCATCTTCCACGGCATGACCACATCGAGCAATGCCTTCCTTATTCGAACCACAGCAACACAGCTACAAGCATTCCAAAGCATGAAGGGCTCATAAGGTCTCTCTCTCTCTCTCTCTTTTTCTCTCTTTTCTCGCAGATTGGAAAAGCTGGGCCCTGGTGCTTTGATCTCGTTCTTGCTCAAAGAGCCTGAAGAATCGCAAGGCTTGGCTCTATACCGGGATCAATTCGAGGGCTTGCCTGACTGCGACACGTCCAGTGTGTAGAAGGCATCACGAAGCTCAGCTACATGCGTGTCCTCATGACGGGCCAAAGCATCAAAGCCGAGACCAGCAGTACTGCAAGGAGTCTAGCTTCCCGGAAAGCCGAAATACCCACATGCCCTTGCGGACTCAGAACTGCATCGCACACCTGGTGACATACCCGTGTCATCCTGTGTACTAGGGCTGTCCTCAGACCGGTGAGCCACCAACGTTAGCACCTTGAACAGGTGACGCATGGGCAGACTAGTGCCTGCATTACTCGCTGCAGGCTCACTTTTTTGCTTCTCAACATGCCTTTGAGTCTATCATAGTCGATCTGTCTATCTGAAAATGCACCTGCTCTTGCTCGCTTGTTGGCTTCTGGACACACGCAATAAATAACACCATACGCGTCACCACCAGTGGCCTACATGCGATGCACTACCAGTACCGACTTTTCTCCACCAGCCGCGCTGTTGATGATTGCAGCAGGGTCACCGCCCGCTCAAACTTGGAGTAGTGTCGGAAGGTAGCCAACCGTCCTTAGATGTCAGATGCATGTCGCCAAGCAAGTCCATGGTGTCATGTTGGTCCTGAGCAGTAACGAGGTCTATGCGAGCAGTCGGCACTCCTTCATTGCTTGCCAAGGGGCGAATCATTCCTTACTTGCAATGCTGAGGTGGATCAGAAAGTTTGCTTGTCACGACATACAACACAACTACACTTTCCAAATGACAAGCGTGTGGACCCTGAATAAATGGGCGAAGTCGGAAAACGCGACAGCTTCAATCACAAATGAGGGAGGCGAATCAGAAAACGTGTAGAGCTCAGGGAAGAAGTTCGGGGTCGTCTGGTCATGAGGTCGTGGCCGATGCTCCCGCAGCTCAGCCCCGAGAAAGGTTGTAAACTCATCCCCTGAAAACAGGCCTCAACGGGTCGCCTCCTTGGAACGCACTTAACAATCCACCCAGACCTGCCCCGACAAACCTTTGTCGCCTTCCTAGTCAAAGTTCGGCCCTTGAACTTTCTTTACAGCCTTCGCAACTTAAATACCTGGGATGAAAGTTCTCAAGATTAGAAAAAACGATCCGCAAATCCAAAAAATGTCAGATGTCAGTCAACAATGTGTATACCATCCTTAAACAAACAACAATGGTTGAAGCCTGACACGAATTGTACGGAGGAGGCGGTCCCAAATGCTTTTTCGAAAAGCCTGTTGACCTGAAGTTAAGCTGGTTTCAGCTGGCGCAACATTGACAATTAAGTTGGGCGCGAAAATAGAGCGAAGGCTGTGAAGATTTGTATATAACATGTGAAGGGGCCCTAAAGCCGCAAGTAAGCTTCACAGTTCAGGGTCCCGTGTGATTTTGGCATGCGCCTTTCAACGCTCTAAGCCCTTACAATTTAATGTGTGCATGGGACCATTTTTCATGGTTTTCAAGATTTGGTTAACTTGCAGGTTGCCAGGAGTCCCAGAGGTTCGAATTGAAAATGTACATGGGCCAGGGTATGAAATATTTGGGAATACCCCCGGCCCCCGCCTCAGGCATTTCAGAGACCATTCGGTGCTTGTAAAAAGGGTGCAGCTTAAATTGTGCCGAACCTTGACAATTCAAAAAGACTTGGAATTCATTTTCTAAAGATTGTAAAGAGCATTTAGGTTGTTTAACAACGATAAAGTCTTTAGTCCATAAATTGGAACTTGACGTTCATGTTGAACAGACCTGGGAGCCACGTGCATGTCGGTTTTGAATTTAACATCTTAAAGCATCTGTCCATACAAATGGGGCCGGAAGGTCAACTTTGAAGGCCTCACAGATTTCACTTCTTAAAACGGCTACGTACAGAACTAATAATTTGAAAAAAAGGCCATAAGATCAAGGGAATGCAGAAGCCACTGAACATGTCTGAAAATCTGGAAAGGTTAGGGCCTTGGAAAAAACCCTGAGAAACCTTTCACATGTTCATGGGGCCTGGAAAGCTAAATGACAGCGTGGGCTCCATCAGTTTGGGAGTTCAGGCCAGGGATCATCATACAGGGACATATTGAATTGCTTAAAGATGCCTCAACATGCACAGGAGCAACTCATGCGTTCCGAGCTTTTGCCCACGGTGTCAGGTACTTTCTCGCTAGGCTAGGGCCTTGTTTTCTATGACTGCGGCGTTAGCTAAGGCCTCGTGCGGCTTGATTGGCCAATCGTGTTTTCTTATGCCCCTCCGGTCAGGTGTCGGGCTCAGGCTTGCCCTAACCGATTCAGTATTGACACATAGTGCCAGCAAGGTGCCTTGTGAAACGGGCGAAAGATGAAACGAACCCTTGATGTCCGGATCAGACGTTGACGGACTGTGAAGCAGCTTCGGCCGCGAGTCCTGCATGGAGCTGAGTCTCAATGATGCCCAGAGAGATCTGTGAACAGGTGTCATGAACATCAGGAGACCGTCGTCATCAGCAGTCCTGCACGTCCGCAAGCCACGGACTCCTCAAAGCGCCTTGTGCGTCCATACCTCGCTGTGATGCAGTTGGCACCGGCACAATGTATCAGGCTCCTCGACCAACACCACTAACCTACTTGGTTTGTGCCGTGGGCGAGCACGACATAGCACGACCCAGTAGCAGAGAGAAGACACAGTTGAAACTCAACTGAACTAGTCATTGAGACAAGTCTCGATCATCTGGATTTTTCTCCTGAGCGCTCCAAGCATCGCCATGCTCACTCGATTGAGTAGGTGTGGGCTCGGCTCGACGATAGCATGCAGTCAATATCCGGCACTTGGCGATCCGCAACATGGCTTTTGGGCTCAGACATGATTTTAGGACTCTGAATGGTGCAGGTCACCAGAAGATTTTGGAGAAGCTCCGCAGCATCATAATCAACATCTGCCTCCTGCGCAGTTGTCTTGCAAGCCCCACATCTGCACGGGCGCTGGAATCATGCCCCCAGACATATCAACACCACACCGAAGCCTCGGACAATATGGGGGGCTGGGGGCCACATGAAGCAGGAAGAATGCAGTTGTGAGAAAGCGCCAGCACCAGGATGTACTGGGGACAAGGAGGGGAAGGGGGAGATAAGGCAGTCGAGGCCCCTTTTTGAGCCTGGGCTTCTGAATGTGGGGGGGGGGTGTTCCAAAAAGAATTCGAAACCTCCGGACGTCGGAAGTACATCCTTACCCGATTGCTGATGTCTCGATTGATATTGATGTTTTGATGCCCGAGCTATAAAATTCTGCACTGAATTCCCTGCACAAGTGTCGCCTTAGTATTGATGTCATCCAATGCAGGCCCTGACGCTTGAAGCCACAGTTTCTCCTGCAGAGGCCTTGAGCGAATTCGTCCTGTGAGGATCTTCCTGCAGGGTGCCAGTGAAATATATGGACAGTGGACACCACAGCATGTGCCAAGAGCGAATCTCAGCAGCCAAGACACGCAAAAAGAGTCGTTGTGTCCAATTTGTGGGCATCAGGAGAACATGGGTGTTCGTCAGTCAAGATTATGTACCTTGTTCACGGGTGCGCCGCCATCCATGTAGTGTTGTCAGACAGACAGCTGGATATCTTTAACCGGAGGCTTTGTGCCAGATGAGGTGATACTCAATCTAAAAACAAGGTGCAGCATCACGCCCAAAGACCAGCAGTCACACTTGCAGCCATAGGGGATGCTTTTGTCGATCACCTCCTCAGGTGCAATTCACGAGCTACTGAGGTGCACATCTGCTTGCACAGAGCCCACAAGGCATACAGGTCCATGTTGTTTGGAATGGAACCTTCGCAACATAAATCTCGGCGTTCAATGACTGGATATGACTGGATGATACTTAGCTCATGTAGTCAGGTGCCTGGAACTGTGCCCTACAACGCACCGCAAAAACTGGAGCATGTTGGGTGCCAGAGCTCCTGTTAACAACTGGAAAGAAGCGATACTGTGCAGTCAGAAGGCGGGCGCAACGAAGAAGCGGGTACCCAACTGCTCATTCAGCCAGGTGTGCTCGTCTTCTCCTTTCGGCTACACTAGACATTGGCTGCCGAACAAGCTGTCTGCCTTCTTCTTGTGTTGGGGTACAAAGGGGATAGCAGTTCCCGGGAGGCACTGTGCATAGCACTCAACTCGAGACCCAAACCCTTGTCGTCTCGCATGGGGCGGGCATGATTCCGAGTGCAGCTGCCAAGGAAAAACGGAAGAACCATATGCTTCTGAAACGACTCTATCGATGCTTTCCTCGGATGAAGACACCCTCCACCTTCCTATCTGCTTTCTGGCAAGACTTTTTCATCCAGCCGCTGTTGCATAGATCGCATCAAGGGTCTCCAAGGCCTCTCGCCACGCCTTGGGCATCAACGCTCGGCGGTTCTCAGTGCCAGCACGGAGGTCACGAAGCGCCTTTCGCGACGTGTTCCCCGTGCCGTTCTCAGTTTTCGCTCTCGAGGCTGAAGCGCGGCTACGCGGGTCAGGAGACAGAGCATCACTCCCATCACTATCGCGGAGCGGTAAGTCTTGCACATAACGCGTTCCTGGACGAAGCATCGCTGTGTCGCTCTTGAACATAGATCCCACATATGGCATGACGAGCGGAGGATTGAAAGCCAACCCACGAAGGATTGGAGGAATCTGATCGCTCCACTCTAAAGCCCGTTCATTGTACTGGCCATCCATACCACAACCCATCGAAATGGAGAAGAAGTCGTCTAAGGGGATCCTCGGTGGCATTGACAAGAGCCCGAAACACACCCTCGCAGGAAGAAGCAGAAAAGCGTTAGCCTTAACTCCAGGGAAGCCCATCCCAAAGCACGGGTCACCCAGTAGGGCCCCCTTTCGCAAGGGAGACCAGAAAGAAGACGGCAACAGGGCGATCTTGTGACGGTAAGCATGCAAATCATTCAGAAGGCGAAATAAGGCCACTAGCGTTCTAGAACTCTACATAACTGATCTGTAAGGGCGGAGAAGGTATTTTTTTGACAACTCTACACATGGTAGAATCCAACTATCCAGGCATGTGCCACATCAACGCTTCATTCATCAAATTGTGAAGCCCCTACACTAGATGCTTGGAGACAAAGATGTAGAACCAGCAAACCATGCCAAGATGTCCAACAAGTCACATGTGCTGCTCTGCACGGGTTGACAACAGCTCTTTGGCTGCATCCAGGCGTAGGATATAGCCCACAGTCCACAAAGTATAGCCCGGCTGCACCACATGCTCCGAGACCCTGCTGACATCATTCTCCATAGGGCTCCTGCCAACATACCTGGCAAGGGCAACTGCACGTGCTCTTTGCTCCATTGCTATCACAAACCTCGGACTCGCCTCGGAAGGCGCATCCAAATGCCAATGCTACACTTCAGAATATCTTATAACCCTTCTGTGCAATATTGAATTGCCCTCTAGAGTTGCCCTTCACATCCCTCCGCTCGCCCAAACACTCAGTTGTTGGAATGGCCATTCCACGGAAGAAGCTGGCCGGTATGAAGCGACTGAAAGTATAGACTTGAGAAAACTCCGGCAGCTGCATGCGCATCAGAAGCCAGGCCACATAAGATTCCAGTCGAGACCCTCAACTTCGGCCAGGTAGGAACCTGTGGGCGTCTAAGGCCTCGAGTCTCTCTATGTCTACCCCTGTCGCACGCGCTTGGATTGAGCACTGCAAGGAAGTGGCCTAGTCGTTCCTGAAAGTTGTCCTGGAAGTCAAAGTCGTCTTCCAGGATCAGGGCAACGGGTATGCTCTGCTCCACCATGTGGTGCCACACAGAGTAGTGGCTCAAGAAGCAGCCCACCTGGTCCAGCAGCGGTCAGGCGATGCAGGCTCATGCTCCGGTCATCCTACTTCTGTAAGTATGTAAAGTATGTCAGCCTCACCGGTGGTGTAAGGCATGTTGTGATTGCTGAAGCCGGAAGCATACCCAGGAAGGATGCGAGCTCCTAGCACCTGACCGCGGCTTCCAAAGAATTTCTGCAGAATCAAGAAGCACAGCGTGCAGCGCAAGCAAGCGGCCTCCACGTCTTCTTGGTACAGGATCCCGTCCCCGTCCATTGCATTTACCAAGGTAGCATTCCTGTGCTATTCCGGAACCACCCAGCACATCGCAGCACAAGCAGCCTGTGGAGACCGAAAATGTTACGAAATGTCTCGAAGGCACAGCTGATGCTCCTCCAGTTGCTGTAGCACTCTCTGGCGCTTCTCGGGTCTCCGAGCCAAGCTGATCACAAAGACGTTTTCGGCCGGATCCCCCAACGAGAAGCCGCCTCGGGAGACGCGCGACAACAACATCGACACAGCGGCGCCTTCCTAAAGTCTGCGCAGAGACAGCAAAGTGGATGCAGGGCCAACAGTCCTTGAAGCAAGATGCCAAGAACTTCTGCACCCAACCCCCCGCCCCCAGCCGCCCACCCCGACCCCCCACCCCGACCCCCTTCTCCACTAGCCTCTTGAAGAACAGCACTCTGCGATCTCCCTTGTGCTCACTGATTATTCCAAATACGGCCTGGCCCGGGACAAAAGCTTTGTCGTTCGCGATGCTTTACCCGCTGCATGTCCTGTAGGGAAGACATGCTAGTCTGAATGACCCCAGTGTGACTGTCCTGCACAATGCGACGCATGGGGCCCACTGCGCCTCGTCTAAGAGACGTGGCCAGCGCGCCAAGCGCGCCCGCGCCTGGATGCGTAGGAGACCCTTCTGCTCATCTGAGAGGTGGTCGTCCTTGCTGAAGCCTGGGGCAACCGGTGCAGCTGCGACAAAAGGAATGCAGAAAACCCAACAAAGCCACGCGCCTTTCTGTTCTACCCACTCCATATTCTCCATGGTGTACTGCAACGTACCATCATGATACCTGCAAGGCAGAACCTTCAACCTAGGAGTGGGAGTTGTTAAGGCCGTTGAGCTGCGATGCCTTTGATGGAGCGCCGTCGTCGGATCGGTCAAATCACTCGCGCGCAGGCCAGGGCCACGCGAGCTGGCGTACCGCGCAACCGATGCTGCGCGCACCATTCGTGCCATTCGGCTCAGCCTCACAGGGGGGTAAGAGAAGCTTCACTGGCCACATCGCAAGAACATGGGCTGTTTGCAGGAGCTCCGTTTACATGAGCTTGGTTGCCATGAGGTCCTCCGGGGTGCCAAAACTGTGACAGTTCCCGATGCCACCATGGCCGCAGTGCTGAAAACTCCGGGAGCTCGGGGAGCTCGGGGAGCTCGGAGAGCATGGGGGCGTGTTCCCTGCGCACCCTCCAGGCGCGAAGGCGCCAAGGCCACGCAGCTTCTCGGTTTCCAGTTGGAGCGGGCTAGGCTAAGTGACCGGGCCATCATAAGCCCAGGCCATGAGCCGAGCTGCCACTGAATGCATCGAGGCAAATTCAAAACCAAGGTTATTTTTCTCAAGGGCAAAGAGAGATACATTGGTACATAGCACGACATAAGGGGAGGGATCCTTGGTCTTGTGGGACTGTGAGGTCATGCCGCCGAAGCCTGGAAGCCATGAAGCCATGGACATCCCTTGAAACATGCTTCTGAAGTCATCGCGTCCTTTGGATCGGATGGCCGAGAGACCAAAATCGATGACCTACACAAGTGGGCTGCTGAAGTATGTAGCACATCGCTTCTAGGCCACCAGGCCTTGCCGACCCGGTGGTCACGCGCGCTCTCCTTGATGAGGCAATTCTCAAACTTGAGATCTCCTGGGCGAACTTGCGTGGAAACCATGACATCCAAAGCAACTTATGAGCACCCTGAGATTCTGAGATACGGCAGTTTCTCCGCCGATACAATGCCTCGGACTCCGAACTATGCCAGGCATCGGTGAGCAACGCCATGGTCGTGGCAATACGCGAGTGCCTGGACACCGCCGAAGCGAGAGCACGGCGGTTCAAGCTGTCCCAAAGGCAGGAGACGGAGCACACCCGATCACGATCGAGAGCCTTCACCACATCCCGGATCAAGAGCTTCACTTCCTGGCGGCACTTGGAAAGCTCATGTTCTGCCTCTCCCACTTCTTACGCCTTGCTCCGTGCACCTGGGGATCATCAATCCCGTGGTTCAGCTCTGAAAAATCGCCCCCATCACAGAGCTCAGTGACGAGGAAAATTGCGCTTTCCTGCCGGTTGCTTTCGGGCGTCACGTGAAGCTCTCATGGCCGAATGCTGGCTGCCACAATCTGCCATTCGCAACCACGTCCTCCTCAAAATGCTCCTTACAAGTGGCACACACACACACACACACACGTTTACAGTTGCAGGAATGGCAGGAATCCTACAACACTGGTCCAAGAAGGTGTGGCGCTCGACTATCTTGACAGGATTCGTAGAACTTGACCACGTTGGGATGGTGCAAATGAATCATGGCCTCAAGCTCTGCGTAGACCTTGGATTTGCAAATCAAATTGTGCGCAATGCTGCAGGAAATCGGGAGCCCGCCGCGGCATTGCAGACAACTGTAGCAAAAGGCCCCCACGAAAGACATGTCGTCCTCCTCAGCTCTCTACGCTCTGGGGCCCAATCATACCCATCACAGCCCAACTGGTGCACAGCGTGTTCCAGCCGCCGTGTGCAGACAGGGCACAACGTCCGACAGCGGAAGTTTCCTGAAGCTCTGCATCGGCACGTGTGTGGCACGCGAGCACGGACGTTTACAGAACCAAATGGAAGAGCCTCTCGAATCAGAAATGTGGCTCAGCCAAGGCACTTGACGGCGCGCCACTCCCCCGTCAAGCGGCACTGGGCTTTGTAAACGGAACCAAAGGCACCGCTTCCAAGCTTCTTCAAGTTCGTGTAGGACTTCCTCACATACCAGCGAGTTGGAGATAGCTATGAACCTAGCTTACTGCGGCTTGCAGTAGCATCGAAGAAGGTGTGTCCACAACACACACAGACACACACACACACACACACACACACACACACACACACACACACACCAAAAAAATGAAGGTTCACAACCTCGTCAGCAACAACCCGTCATCAACACGTCCCCCTTCCGAGCTGAGGTTCAGCATGCAGCCTTGGTCACTGAGGGACTTAGCCCCGGTAGAGATGCTGCCAGCATGGGACCATAGTGTGGGCTTGGTTTATCGGGCACATCATGTCTATACCAACCATGCAGTCAAGAGACGATTCGGATCCGGGGCAAAGAAAAGGGACTTGATGTCCACATTGCTGCCACGCTTACCATCATACAGCGCATGGCCTGCCTCAGATTAACGGCACCGCACCTTGCGGAATCGAGAACGCAACACCTTGCACCCAGAAAAGAAAGCCAAAAAAACCAAAATCATACTACCCAACTCGCTCTCTTTCTTTTTCTCATCGCAGTCTGCGAGTCGGAGTCTCCAATCCAACATGCTCTTGGGTACAGATTGAATTCATGTATCGAGTGGCATATTCAAATTATCCAATGCCTGGCACAGGCAGGGCGGGGGAGCACACCACTCCCAATGCTACATATTCCCAAGACATTCTCGAGTGTGACTGGCCCAGAGGAAGCGAGACAAGCTGACCGAACCCGTCAAGACGGAGAGGAGCTGGAACTGAGGGTTGAACCACTGATCGAAGAGGGCTGCGTGGGCGTCAAAGAAGAGACCTTCCCGAACCTGTCGGTCACCGGGTGCCCCCCTGGGAGGCATCCGAGGTGATCAGCAGCCGGGATAGGCCGGGAATGTGAGATGAAGAACACGCCGACGGAGCTGGAGCAGGGGCTTTACACACGATGGACGAGATCACGACACTCCCAGGGAAGGATCGAAGGAGATGAGGGCTGCACGGCCCACGTTGTCGAAACTGCCGTGGCCAGGAACGTGAGGCAACCATGGACGGGAGGCATGGCGAACCCCCGACCTGGCCGACCATTCGCCCCTCCGGTTCCTGGGGCTGGACGAGACACGGAAGGGCTTGAGACGTGCAAGCAAGAGATTGGTTGCACAGTAACACCGCTGTCACAGCCTGCGAGAGACAAACACAGACCAGTAAGCTCCAAGGAGCGGTAGACCCGGTAGACCATGGGGGCCCCGGGCTGGGGGGAGAAAGAAGAGCGCAAACTTTATCCGAAGAAGCCGCGGCTGCATGAGGACGATGAGCAGACACAACTTGCTCGCAACACTTCCGCGAGCCAGGTAGTGTTAGCAGAACGTCCGGACTGACTGGAAAGAGGAGCCGCCTCGCCACCACGGCGCATGTGCCACACGTTCTTGTATTGGAGGCCGGCTCGCCGATCCAAAGCACAGCTTCACGTTTCTTCAACCCTCCTTCCAACCCGCCCCCCCCCCCCCCAAGCAGCTTTCTAGGTTGGCGTGTTCTTGTCTGGATATTGGCAAAGTGCTAGAAACACCTGACCTGCCAGGTACGAAGCGTGACTCCCTATGCACCCCGCCTATGAATCTCCCATGGACTTTTTGTGCGAGGGCTTCTGGTTTGAGCAGGGCGCGTGCGGCTGCTTAATTTGGCCTCCAAAACCCAGTTTCGATGAAATGCGAAAGTGCGGCCACCCCAACATAGAGAAGAGTGGTGCCTAGCACTTCTTCTCAGGCGGAGTTGCAAAGGAACGATGCAAACTAAGGACTGCTTCTGCAAAGGCGACCACAGCACAATAATTGAAGGAACCTGTTCGTACACAGATATACAGAAGAAAAACATTTAAAATCACGATATACAGAAGATCTCCTCCTGGAAGATCCAAGGGTCCAGTCTTTCCCGTACCACATTGCCGATATCCTTCCGCGGCTGCAGCCAACTGGGCCGCCATGCCTCACTCGGTTCAGGCTGAATGGCCCAACACGGCGGAGGCTTGTTCGATGTCAATCTGACGAAGCGCCAGACGAAGAGGAAAGAAACATGAAGCAAACAGGTGCTCTTGATGTATCAAGGCACAAAGGGCCAGCAAGCTGACATGTAGGCGACGCCGCCATCCCAACCTGAGGAGTGAACGACGATCCGTGCATGCGTGGATCTTGCATGGACTTCTCATCGCCTGCAGGTTGTTCCAGGCATGAACACACACACACACACCAACGTTCAAAAAGCCAAGGTACAACCACTGCTTTTCTGGCTGAGCTTGGACATCCCAACTAGGATGACGGCACAGTAACCCTGCCAGAGGCTCATTCTTAAGTAGACTGTGCATTCTGGCGCGTTGTGTCTTGGCTGACAGCAACATCACCAGCCGTAATCGTAATCTTTCTGAGCGCATGGTGTTCGTTGCATGAGCCGGCGAAACTTCCAACAGCACTGCTTATTCTGACTTGCAGGCGCTTGGTACTCAATCTCCTGAGAATGGGCTGTAAGCCGAAGTGGTTGGGTCAAACATGTATCAAACCACATAGTCCAGCAACAAAACGCGCCTTGCGGAGAAGCTTTGGCCATCATGCTGCTGTTTCTTCGCACTGTTGACAACCCTTCCGTCTCGAACGGTACGGTACACTGACAACACAGAGCCCGATGCTGTAAGGTCGTCGAGCGGATTGCTTGCAGCATGGCAGCAGCCCGCGAACAACTCTGCCGGTAGACTTTGCTTCGACATCACCGTGAGTAGGTTTTGCAGGTTCAAGTGTGACCACGGGCTCTGGGATGCAACGTTGAAGAAGCTTCTCAGAAGACTTCCACGAAGTATGCGTGTCAGATACAAACATGAACCTCGATAGTCCACATTTGGTGCTGAACTTTCTTTGGAAAGCAGCTCGGCTTTGGTGGACCTTTCCTGCAGCCACTTTCATTTTCTTGGGCGCCAGGCCCGCGCACCACTCGAGATCACCTGCGGCCTGCATGCTACGTCAACTGCCTTTACGGCAAGATCACGCCCGCGTCGAACCAGCCGTCAGAGGATGCACCTAGGCAAGAACATGCCCCCTGTCCATTCTGCGCCTGTGCTTCGGAAAGAAAAAGGCATGACAAACTTGATGCCGCCAAGCTGCTTCTGAAGCATCTTCAACAGAGCCGCCTTTATCTCGGGGTTGCACGTCTCCGTGTCGCATGACAGCTTCACTTGCTTGTTCCTGGATCGTCTCAAGGATTGAAGGCTGAATGACGGCTAAATGCAACATGCCTCTTTGAAGGCGTTCGGTCGAAATGGACACTTTGCAGGCTCACCTGCAATCTCTAGCCATCTCTAGCGCAGTTCACGCTGAGCATCTTTTCTTTGTTCTGCTTGGAGATCAGCTGATTCCGACAGCTCTTCCGCAGCAGGTCTTGGACCTCAGTCAGATCCCAGATTTACAGCGCCTGGATGCCTCTTCTTTTGGTGGAGTTCAACTGTTCCTACAAAGGGCTGCAGTGCCAGACTCTGGAAGCTGCGCAGGTTCAATTGCAACCAGTAGAGCCCTCAAAAACACGAACTCGACAACACAAGCGCAGCGCGTTCTGCTTACAGACTGCTGCTTTCCAAACCACCTTCCCGACTCGAACCCGCACAGCCCGACACTCCTGTGAACTTGAAGGCGTATGAAAGCACGTGAATGCATATGAAAGCATGGCAAATGCTCTTCCCTAAGCCGGCCGGCTGTCTTCGAGCGTTCACCAGCCATGTGCGAAGAAGACTGTTCAACGATCATCGCCTCGGCTCTGGGCGAGCCCAGGCTTTGTAGACCTACTCATGGAAGCCTCTTCTTTCTCTGCAAACAAGTCTTCAAGCAGCATCATCCTCAGACATCCTCAGACCCAGCTGCAAAGTAAGGATGGGGACGCAGGATATCCAACACCAGGCGCAGCTGCCGCATTCCGCTTTCCTGGGTCTAAACACAGCCTTGAAAACAGCTTCCCAAGCCACGCCCGTCTAAATCTCGACACATGCTCCACATAGTGAGAAAGCCGAACCACTTGCAGCAGAGACGAACTGTTCTCAAAGGAGATGGGCGACCTGCAGTGCACAGAACAGGCGGAGACCCAAACGGGAGGCAAGTAACACCACGCCGCGACTGAATTACACATTGTTTATCAACAAGCTAGAAAAAACAAAGTCTCGCAATTATCCGGCAGTTGCTGCTTAGTTATCATGGGCAGACAGGGCGCTGGATGAGCTCCTCCAGCTCGCCCAGCTTCTGTCTGATCGTTCTGATCTGAGCCTGGCCAAGTCATGAGATGCTTGATGTACGTAGTAACTGCCACCCTAGTCAATACTACCACACTGTCTGTGCTTGACATCTCAAGTGCGGTTTTTGTCGGCCAATGAGGGTGACCCATGCCTGCGCGCGGGCCAACGTGCTTTGCGGTCTGATGCCTTCCGGGAAGTTCTCCTGCACACAAGGTACTACTGCGAGGCATCTTTCAGGAAGAATGAACACGCTTCACGATGCAGACCCCGTACTGGTCCTGTATGAGCTTGTCAAAAGCCTCATCCAACTCAGCCAAGGTGGTGTTGCCTCACCACGTAAGTCGATCTCTGACTGGCACTGCATCAATCGCGTAGAACTCAAAACTTTCTTAGCGTGCTCATCTGTGTCACTTCGCAGACGTTTTGCCGAGGAGCTTTTGACAGTCTCGCGTGCTTGATCCAGCAGGGTCATCTCGCGCAAAGCTGCACGAGCAGACTCCAAAAGCTTGTCATCAAGACCTGGGAGTCTGGTAGAGGCATGGAGACGGAGCATCTTGGCGCATCTTCCGGCTGCCTCCGAGGCACTGTCCGCAAACGCAGAAGAGCCGGCTTTGGAAACTGCATTCCGCAGCGCATTGCCGTCGGAGAGAACCATGGCACTGCGAATCTCCTTTTCCAGTAGCGCCTTCTTGTACCTGAACATTCCAAGCAAAAGAGCAGGGACCAAACTAGGAAGCTGAGTCCAGCTTTGACTCTACAGGTAAGACTGCCAAGGCACAGTCGGGTGGCCTCTTTCGCATCGCCCGACATCCTGCAAGGCTGGACACTGCACGAGCTGCAAACAAAATTGGCGCCGCATAACCGTCCTAAGCTTTTCTGCATCTTGGATCTTCTTGGGGAGCTCCTGCAAGACCTGCATGTCATGGACACTTTCTTGTGCACGCGCTAGCCTTCCGACCCGCAACTCTCTAAAGCTGAACGCACTTCCGGGCTCTGCTGTTTGGGCTTGGCTTAGCTTTGCATGGCTGAGGAAAAAGGAGCATGGCATCAACATCCTGAGACCTGAGAGATATGTCCATCCGAACTTGGTCACACGGACCTGCGTCGAACGCTTGGCTGCCGTAGCCTTGATCTCCTCTTGCCTTGGTACTGAACGGGTTTGACCGGTGCTTTGGAGGATGGACACAGCAGCATGACTTCATCTGTGTATCTGTCATCGTCTGCCAGCTGGGTACCGACGGTATAAAGTCAGCAGAACTGGCACGCACATCCACCAACACAAGCAGGATTGCATCCGCTCTGCTTGGCTTAGTTTGCACTAACGAAGTGGGCTAGGCACGACATGATCGGATGGAACCATCCACCACACGTGCAGACGTTCCCATGCGTGAGCAAGGTGGTGGCATTATGTATGCAGTCCGGCCGAACCGCCGAAGCTTGATGGATTGCCCTGGGTTGCATCCCACACTCCAGCTTCTGCCATATTGAACAAAGAATAAGAGCCGGTAATCCTAGTGCTCAACAACCACAGACCAGCACACAGGCTTTGCAGAGGCAGGGACCAATCCCTGTCATGCTGCTGGGCATGTGTCTTTAGCTGTGAGCCCACGAGGCCACGAGGCCGGTGGGGCCGCTTTTGCACAAAACACGTTGTGTTGATCACTTATTCGAGCTGCTGAGATTGACCCCGGACTGAGAGCCAGGCACCTTGGCTTTTTGCTTGGTGTCGAAGAGTGTCTGGAGGGCCTGGGCGGGAAATGCACACGGCATCATACTGCCGTTCCTGACTAGCCAAGCGTGCTCCTGCATTCCTGCCAACGGCACGACTGCATGCCTTTCAGGAAACAACACGCGTCACGACATTCACATCTCCTGTACGCGGCTACAGTGTCGCATGTCATGCTTTACCGCGACATGCTGCTGCGAGTTCAAATCAAAGTTCAAGCAAAACATTACTGGCTTAGCAACGCCACATCCGAAGCTTCCTACCAAATATACCAAGGCACCTCCATCCGGACCTCGGCCAGCAGCTTGTCCAGTGAGCCACGCCGGCCCAACTTCGTCTCCTGGACCTGTGGATTCTTTGTGCTCTGGATGGCTCTCTCCAGCTTGGACACGTCCTCCTCCCTGCAGGGCGAAATCAAAGAATGAGGCGACGCTGAAGATGGTGTGTAACAGAAGGGGCTTACAGTTTAGTTGGTACACGGATGTACACGGTGATTATAACTCACAGACATGTAACTTTACAGGCAAATGATGAGAGTTCTGGATGCCTCTGCAGCATCTGTCTTGCTGATACTGTTGTCCACATTTCGGCGACTGCTTTGCATGGCTTTGGAACTTTCCGCCATACGTGCCTATTCGTCTACAAGCTGGGCTCGTAGCTGCTGAAGCTGAAGCTTAGCACCCCGGTGTCCAGCTCCGTTACTTTAGTTGGCCTTGTGCTTGGTTGATGTTGATTTGGTGCAACGTAGAACACATTCCCACAGCCCCGGAGTCTGAGTCCTGCTGGCAACTGTCAGCTGTGCAATCTGCGAGATCATGTCCTGCAAGGTGGTGGGGATAGCCACTTCAAGCTGCAGCTTGCGTCATCCGGGGGCAAGTCAGCTCGAACACATGCTGCTGAGCATCTCGGGCGCTCTTGGCCGTCTGCAAGGACTGTGTCACAGTGTCTGTGCTGAGACCAGACCGTTCAGCGACGACAAGGGCTCCCCTGCGCAGCCGGGAAGGCCAGGCTTCTAAGAAGTTGAAAGACCACCCTGCGTGACTCTTAATTAGGTAATTGTCCATGTGTATTCTTAGACAGGTGCCAACATATCCACAAGTGCCGGCCAGGCACTGGAGGCATTCCTTGTCACCATTCGTGCGCGCAGCCAATATCCTCTCAACCACATGGCGCTTGCAGTTCCAGTGAATTCAGTGCACATGCTACTGTAGCTCCTGTTTCAAGAACCTCATGGCCAACACAGCTCTTAACACTTAAACCTCCACTTTGGTCACCTCGCTAGGAATCAAAGCAGTGCAGCCCAGGATCGCCCAGCGTGCAAGGTTGCGGGCTCGGATGGGTCCGTAGGCCGTGTCCACTCTCCTAAGTTCGACGCCTCTCAAAAAATCTCCCACGACCTCTTTCCCCAGAACCCCCTCACCGCCCGGAGCAGTTCTGATGATGCTTCGACATGCTTAAAGCTCTTTTCTTTGGAGTGAGCATCATGAAAACGAAAGAGAACGAAACCCAGCGATGGCAAGCAATGAGGTCGCAAGCCCCAACCCCTGAACACATCAGTCAGAATATGCCAGAACTCGGTGGACACCCAGCTTTTAGACTGGCGGCTGCAGCATCTCACAACGAGCCGGATTCAAAGCCGCCTCCTCCGATTTCCACAGTGCTTCCCGGAAGGCGGCCCCGGTCCCCTCAGCGACTCAGACCATCGTCTTCCCTATTGGGCTTCTGGCGGCAGGGGAACAGTCTTAGTGCCCCACAGCGGGCGACAACTCAGCCAAGAAGCCTCATCGAGCGCAGACTGCAGAGCTGCCGTCGCGCTGCTGAGCTTCTCCACACGAATCCTAGCGACTTGATGCAGCGCATGCGGTGACGCCTGTATTCTGAAGCCCCGCTGCCAAGGTGCACGACATCCATGCCCTCTGGATGGTCTGAAAGCCGCGCTCTTTCGACCCAGGGCTTCAGCGTCTCCAGAAGCTCTAGGTCCTGTGAGTCGACCACCTGAACCACCGGACCACGCCTCCCATATTGTTCCGTATTGTTCCGTATTGTTCCGTGCTGCTGAGCTGCCTCCTGTAGTCTCTCGAGCATCCTTAGGCACCAAGGCAAGCAGTTGGAATGCTTGCAGCTTTGCTGGCGAGTCTCAACTCCCAAAGCTTGCCAAGGTGCCCATCCTGCCACTGGTTAAGCACCCTTCGGGTAAGAACCGCAATCTTCTTGGCCCTCGTGAGCTGCGCCTCCCTCAACCTGCATCCCAGGTTGCGGACTCGACTTGCAGCAACTAAGAGTCTGCAGCACAGCACGGCTGCATGCTTGAGCTCGGTGTATGAGCATGGTCAGCCAAAGCACCTGTCCGTGGCAGCCTCCCCTGCTTCCACAGCTGCATCAAGTGCCGGCCATCCTCAACGAAAAACTGACCGTGCAAAATCTGCTCTGAGCCCAAAAAAATCTCAGATCAACGGCTGTAGCACAGGCTGACAGCCTCTCACCCCTTTCATCCCCTTCCTTTCTGCCGAGTGTTTTGCCAGGCTGCTGCGCTCATCGTGAGCTGTCAGACGCAAGGCGCTTTGCAGGCGACGAGCGGCGAAGCCCTCGAAGTTGCAGGCTTCCCGGACTTGAAGCCTTCACACATCTTCACACATGCGTCAAAAAGATGCCAAATTGCACACCTGCGTGCTACTCATTCTTTCGCAGTGCCGTGTGCAAAAGGCTACCTTCCCCATCCGCCCTTTCATTCCCGAGCGCATCCACGTCACTGCATGCACTCAGAGCAGATCGATTTCGGGTGACTGCCCTCGGCTCAAAGCTACAGTGAGATCATTGACACGGGCTTGCATGCGTGCCAGCTCTTCTTCCGCTTTGCGAGACTTTTCTTGCGCCTCAACCAGTTCCGTGCGGAGTCGTGCATTTTCCTGGACGAGGTTTGGGTGCGCCGCACTGGCTTCGATTTCCTCCACGAGTCGGACTCTGTCGTTTGCGAGCTTTGAGATTTGACGGCAGATAGGCCAAATAAGTGGGTAGCGCTCTCTCACAGCCAGTAGCTGGCTCGGCTGAGCAAGGCCACTGGCCTGAGTACCGAAGTCGTCGAGGGTCCCAAGCAGCGCATACTGCAAGCTATCCGCCAGACCTTGCTCATCTACAGACTCAGCGAGTCGCAAACCTTGAAAGTGGCTCTTGATAAGCTCCACTGGGGCATCGCAGGCAGCGAGGCGCTCAATGCTCAAATCAGAGGGGTCATATTGCACACCGTGGGCAGACTGCTGCTCGAAGAGTAGTTGAAGACATGCATCGAGTGCCAAGGACACTCTGTCGTGCCGGTCGGACTCCCCTGCATGGACGCGTGCATCCACATCTGTGCGTGGCGGAGGCTCGGACGCAGGCGCTTGGCTCGCCTCGCCTGCGTTGTTGCCCTGGCTGGCTGCATCCTCTTCACAAGCAGATGCCTTGTCAGATTTGTCGGTGGGCCGCTTTTCAAGCAAACCTCCTAGCGACTGCAAGTCCTGAAAGCGCTGCTGTCCGTAACTTGCAGCTTTCAGGTTTTGCTGCTGCCGCCATTCTTGCTCTGTCTGCTTCTGCAAAGCCATCTTGGCTCGCAGCGCAGGGTTGTGATACTTGAACTGCAACCGCAGCTTTGGATACTCTGGTTTGGCCAAAAGATGAATTACGGCCTGCGTGAACATCATCTCGGGAGCATGTGTTTCCAAGCTCTGGTTGGCAGGAAGAAGACCCAACCATGTGTCCCACGCATGTGGTGGCTGTAAGAGATTCTTGCTGATTACTGCCAAAGGCAAGACCATGTGCCACAATAGCGCGGCTCCCTCCGGCAGCCTCCGCCGCACATGCAACTTCAGGTTCAGCTGCAAGGGGCAATCCATGAGATCAATGCCTGACGATTTAACTAGCGTGGCGCACTCAAAGAGAGGGCACCCATCGGAAGTGGCCAACTCGCTGAAGAGCTCATCTGCAGAAGCCGACTCAGGAAAATGCTTCGCGTCGGCGATCGACACATTCAGAAAAGTCTCATCATCAAGCTTCTCCGTCGACATCGCAGCAGGATGTGCATAATCTAATTGCAAAAGAAACTTAAACCGATTCCTAGTCCACATGTGTTCACCGATGCCGGCTATTTGCTGATGGGATTTTTAGAACTTTGTCCGGCATCCGGCATGGTCCGACCTGTGTATGTCACGCGGCGCCGAACAACAACACACGTCCTTCTCATGCTGCACAAAACAACAAGACAGCACACCGTGAGCACTGTGCCCCACATGGTCCACAAGGCCAGCAAGCCATAGCAGGCTACCATTAGTAGTACTATTATTAATAATTACCACTATTACTATTACGATTATTACTATTATTACGATTGTTACGATTTTTACTGCTATTTTTATGGCCTCTTCTGAACAACCTGGAGCTTCTCCTTCGCGGCGCTGAGTCCCTCGACATCATCTGCAATGTTGGAGGCTGCCTTTGCAAGCAGCACATGGGCTTACATATTGTTATATGGAAACACTGGTCTTCTAAGGAGATGGTGTCCTAAATCTTACGAGTAGTTGAATACTGTAGAGCCAAGACATGGAAAGCGGAAGTGAAATGGCCCGCATGCAGGCAAGCATCTAGATCATTGATCAATCGGCTGCGTTCAACGAAATTGGCCTTGGCTTATGCCAGTGCAGTGCGCACATGGCACCATGCACATTGCCTGAACCTACGGCACAGGATGGATTGAAATCCAGGCTGCAGTCTTGCATGCTGCCTCCAGGTATCGCGAAGCTTGCTGCTGTCGAATGGAAGGAGTTCCTTCCAGCCTATAGAGCGCGCGTTCTAAAGGGCCAAGTATGCACCGTGCACTTTGCACAGCAACGTTGGCTTCTTCCAGCAAGGACTACATGCTTGGCCGGGTTAGAGCGAAAGATGCGTTTTAGAACAAGCCCTCGTCGCCTGAGGTTGGCAGTCGCACCTGCTGACTTTCGAAATGGTGAGCAGGGCAACGAGCTGGAGCGGAGAGGTGTGGAGCCCTCGGCTGGCACAAGGCTGTCCACAAAATCTGTCCCGCATGCCCAAGTCGACAGAAACAATCCATCCACGTGGTGCATGCCCCCGCATGCTCCTTAAGAACCGGGTTGCGCCATCATACACAGAGTGCGACGACGTCGGGGAGCCCAGCTGTAGCCGCGGACTTGGGGAGAAGGCACCTATCACGAGTACTCTGGACAGAACATACACAAAACAGCCGCAATTTGGTGGTGACGAGACATCGCGACACGCAAGGAGTTAAGCTCTGAGAACTTGGGACTTCTTCAAGAGGCTGTGCTGTCCCGAAATGACAGGCCATCAAGCCCAGGCACACACGGCCGTCATGTTCGGATGCTCGCTGCAGCAGCACTGTTTCCAAGTTTATCATGTGCACTCTATGTCTTTCGATGGTGCAGACTTGACTACGTGACCAAGTATCCCCCAACCAGACATCTGAAACATTCTGTGACCGGTTGCATGCTGTTGCATAAGATGCTCGCGGGCAAGGGAGTTCCTTCAAGAAGATTCAGCATTGCTGTCACATTCAGGTGGTCGTTAGGCAGCCATTTTCTCTGCAATGAAACGAGTGGCAAAAGTCATCTTTGAACTTCTCCCACACGGCTACTTCTGTGAAATCAGAGCAGAAGCGTCATCCGAAGCCCTGGTCGTCAGGGAGGCACTGCCTTGGAACATGTCCGCACGGCGACCTGCAACCTCTGAAAACCTGCGTGCTGGAAGCCTTGGCCCGTGACACCCAAACAGGGAAGTACACAAGGGATGTCGTATTTCGCGCCTTGCACCAACACTGCGACCCAGATGTTGCCACAAAGCTGAAAGGCCCCTGCCCAAAGCCAGATCCATCGGGGTACATCACCCGTTGCACCTCCAATGGAAGAACCGTCTTTTACAAAAACTCGATGCCCGCTCTGTGGGATCGCATTTGCTAGAATTGCTTCGGCATAGAGCTGCGAATGTTGTGAATCCCTCGCACCTGCATGTTGTGCCAGATCACCAAGGACCCCGGCCACTACAGCTCCGACACCTGCACCGCATCCTGGGCTGTGACAAGCCATGCAGCCTGCTCCAAAGCCCACTTCTGTGTGCTCAGCTCCCCGATGGGCAAGCGGCCATGCCGATACGAAAAGCTTCCAGATGTGACAAAGCCGACCAGCTGCCGAACGGTGGGTACCTGACCAGATGTGCAGGGAAGCTGTACCATCATGCACTGCTACGCACAAATGTGCATTATCATCTGGACGTTCACGCGCTGCACTCGACATGTCATGTTCGTAGGTATGAAATGGCAGTGGCCAGAGGACGCTGAACGAGCATGTGCTGCGCATTCGGGTAAGTTTGAGCTCGCAGGGCTTCCCCCGTACTTTCATGGGCTTTCGTATGCTTCCATGGCACGGCGCTCGCTTGCGGCTACAGAATTGGCTCGACTGTAACTTTTCTCGCTTGCAGCTTGCGACTACGACATTGGGTCACCTGGACGATAAGGTGCCGTAGGCCGTATATTGGCCCGACTGACAGCCTACCGCTCGCGAAGTAGGGTAGGGCTTTGTCGGGGTTACCCGCCTAGCTGACACTGGCCACTTCGGAGGAGGTACACCAGCAAAATTCAGACGACAAACCTGCGCCTTGAATTGAAAGTGCCGAAAAACAGTGTTTGACACTTCCCAAGCTCATCATGCTATTGCTTCACGTGCAACTTGGGGTTTTGGGATCTAGGGTTTCGGGTCTAGGGTTTTTTTTGCGCGTCGGGCGGCATGTCTTTTTTGGTGGGTTGACGGTCTTCTGGAGCCTTCAACGCCTGAAAGCCCCAACCGGGAAGTCCGGATGCGAGGGGGAAGCTGCTTCAAAAGAGCTTCGATGTCATTAGTCATGAGAAGTGCTACCCAACCCAGGGCAGAACCACTTGGGCTCGACAACGGCGTGAGGGTGTAAGGACAGTTTGGCGGTGTTCCCTTAGGCTTTTTTGGCCACCCGCCCACGCGCAGGATTTTAGTTGATAGTCTTGTTGCCAAACTAGCCGCGCTGCAGGGTTAAGGGCTAAGTCATGTAAAGTCCTGACAAGAGACTTTAGGGGTTTTTCAAGGACAAGCGAAGACATGCCAAAGAAACATCCAAAGCAAAAAGTCACAAGCGATGAGAAGAATGCGCAAGAGGAAATAAGGGACACAAGCGAGAGGATCCTTCCTTTGGATTCTGGCCTGGGTCTCGGGCTGCTCCGGCTTGCCCTCCGCGCTCTGTGCGCTCTTCATTTTCTTGTCTCGCTGTCGTCGCAATCGATGCTGGGTATGTCGAGGCTCCTTGCAGTTGCTCTTGCAGCTCGCGCTTGCTTGTGTGACTCCTGCTCTCTTAAGAGCACGTGATTCGTGAACTTGCCGAACTGGACATAAACAAGTCCAGCATATCTGCATACCGCACATGTGAAGATACACCGGCACAAGCAGCTATGCAGCAATACGGCTCTTTTACCGGCACATCACGAGCATGGGTCGCGTGAGCACATGAGCCACGCGCGCAACGCACCTCACGCCATAGTCGGAGGCACCCGACTCACACGACCACCAAGCCGTCCTGAGCCCTGAAGGATGGCACGGCTCAAGCACATGCCCAAGGATCTGTGGAGCTCGCGGTGCTCGCGGACCTTTTCAGAAGTCCCCTTGTGCTCTTCCGCTGCTGCCTCCCAGAAAGGAAAGCCGTGGAATCTTTTTCGTCTGTGTAGGTCGCAAGAAGTAGCAAGAGGTACACGCATGTACATGAGATAGCGGCCCAGGCACTAGATTTGCGATCCGCATGAGTGCGAGAACCTCTTCCGTCTCGAAGGGAGAAGGGTCTTCTTCCAACACCCCGGACAGCTCCTCCTTGCAAAAGGCATGAAAAACTCTAACTTGAATTCGTCAGTTTGACCATCTTCACCCGGCCTGCAGCACCTGAAGCTGCACAGCGGACGAAGCAAATCCGTGAGACAACCTCATGCCGGCCACACTTGCAGAAAGGGGTGTGCCCGTCTGTCATCTCCATTGCATTACATTGAGGTTCTGAAGTTCGTGCGGTGCTATCACTGCAGTTGAGAAACAGCTTTACGAGCACAGGCGCCCAGGATGCGGTCGGCCTCCCAGCTGCATGAAGGGCGTGGCAGCGTGCGTACCTTAGCCGGCACTTAGGGTTGCCAATCTTTGCACGACGGCGAAATGTGCAACGGATCGGTCTAGAATCTACAACTGCGAGTCTGCGAGTTGAACTAGGCCATGATGCTGGATGAAGAAGTACAGGCGCGCGGAAGCTGGAAGTGTGGGCAGGGGAGCTGGCGCACCAGGCGGAGCCATTGCGGCTAATAGCGCCGAAGAGGGACAATCATCGAAGGATTCCTCCAAGTTTGCTGGGGCGAGGGCCTCGAGGAGATCCAACATGCCATTCTCAACGATTTCATCACAAAAGTCTGACACTTCCGCTGCTCCTTTGTCTAGCTTGTCCACGCAAATCTCCACGTCTTGCTCTGAGCTTTGGATGCCAACAACTGCCCAACAGGCCCAGGACAAGGCCCCCAGCAAATCACCGGAGCTCCGGAGAAGCCGTGCACGCTGCCAGCAATGCTGGCGACCCAGCTCGCCCAGCTCCAAGTCATCCAAAAGCGACAATGCCTCCCACATTGACTTGTTGTCACCGACGGCATTGGAGCAATACTTGTCGGCGAGGAATTGCAAGCACCTGGCTACCTCCGGAGCACCTCCAGCTCGCAAGTAGTTCAGGGCACAGCGCAGCTGCTGTGGTGGCTGACAAAGGTCTGCAGCATATGCCATGAGATGCCAATCTCGGGGGGCAAGGTGGCAGTCTGGTTCCGCGGACAAGGACAAGTGTCCGGCATAATACAGCAAGTCCACTAGATGCACCACAAAATACTGAGGAAATTTGTCCGGCATCGAAGAAAGCACTTCCAGCAAAGCTGGCACATCACACTTGACGGCTGCTACGAAAGCTCTATCCACATCATCGATGCTTTCATCCGGGCGCCGTCGGGCAACTGCCTGAAGCAAGTCCCCAAGCTCTGCACGTCGAAGGTCGGGAAACACCCATGCATGGGTGAATACGAAATCTTCAATCCAGGTCCGGCTAAACTTCCAAGAGGTGTCCTTGTTGGCTTCAAAGTCCACCTGGCTCGACCTCATGTAGACCTCGAGAAGCTGTTGCAAGGGATGCTTCTCTGGCAGCTGGCAGGCGATGCTCTGCGCAGCATCCTGCATTTCTACTATGGCCTGACCAAACTCCACAGTAGTGGCCCCTGCAAGCTCCATCTCCCTCATCGAAGGGAACTTCGACAGGAAGTCACAAAACAGCAAGATGTGCGAGTCCTTTCTTGCTGCGCCCTTCAGCAATTGGGCCACTTCACTCTTGCGGTCTGCAAGGGCAAGACGGCACATCGGCTCCCAAAACTCGGAACCCTCTTCCAGAATGTCATCTGCAGATGCGCTTTCTGCAGCTTGGTACCAATCAGAAACATCCTCCTCACCTTTGCCCAATGCAACACCAGGCTCACATGCTCACATGGCAAAAGAAAAAAACGTGCTGCACTCCAAGCCTAACAGTCCTAACACGCTTTGAGAAGACTTGGTTCAAGACCTTCCAGGTAGTGCCGGCAGTACCACCGCAAGAGCCCGGGTGCGGCTGGAGCAAAACGGCGAAGGGCCGTCTCGATAACCAGCTCCAACACCGCAAGACAAAAGCACAGCGTGTCCTGACATTATCATTGCATGGAACACACACTCACAGGTTACCTTCTTGAATCTTCTGCACAGAAAAGCCAAGCTAAGTGAGACAAGCAGCATGTTGGGCATTGAGTTCCGCATTCATCTGGCACCTACCAGATCGGCGCAGCCTGTCTGATGTCGAAAGGCAGTTATTGAGCGTCAAGGAGGGCATGCTCACACGCATCTTCTATTTCTGGCGTGGCTTGCGCCTGTCATGCGGTTGACTGCATCGGCTGATGTGTTGATTTTGTTGTTGTTGTTGATGATGATGATGATGATGATGATGATGGATGATGTTGTTGTTGCTCCCGGCGCAGATGCTGATGCTGTTGCTTGTGTAGTGGTGGTTGGTTGGTGGTTCGCTGGTGGCTATTGGTTGTCGGTTGTTGGTTCTTGGAGTATGGGGATTGGTGGTTGTTGTCGTTGTTGCTGTTGGGCGTAGGGATGTTGACGTTTGACGGCTTAAGGTGTCTTGCTGCTGGGTCCACGATAGATCGCAGCTCAGTCAGGCTTCGACACACAGCAAGCAACGAGGGCTTTGGGGTTTGCTACCCTTTGTCTGTCAGGGCTTAAGGATTGCAATGCAACGCGCTTGCGGGGATTGCGAGTTTCCACCCCCCCCCCCCCCCCCCCCCCCCCCCGGCACTGTTTTAGGATCTTCCTCCATCTGGTCCATCTGCGGCTTACGATGTGCTACTCCGCCTTGGGTCCATCCCACTGTTTCGGGCATCCGTGCTACTCCCTGGGCTCAGGGGCGTGTTTTCCATGTGCACCTTCGGTTCTATTTCGCGCACGCATGGCTAGGCCAACCATAATGCTTTTTGGAAACCTGACTTCTCTGTCTATTGTTTTTCGTCGCTCAACCTAACGATGTGTCCAACTAGTGAAAATTCACGAGGTGAGCAGCACGAAACGCAAGTGAAGCTGAGGAGCTCATCACGCCCTGCAGCGAATTCACGAGCCAGGCTCTCGGCGTAATCAAGCAACATTTGCTCGGCCGTGAGCACATCCTGTATGAAACACTCTTGCACGGCACAACCACAGGGCTGCAGCACTCGGCATGGAGATGGATGCAGCCAAGTATCCATTGGTGCTCTCGTCGCTTCCACATGCTCATGGATGCTTTTGGCCTTCAGCTGGAATGTGGTGAAGTGCTTGAGTAGGCGCTCACAAAGTTCACCAGGATGACTGGTCCGCAAAGCCCGTGTTTCGCGATATCGCGTACCCAGCACCTTTGCGAAGTCCTGAGTTGCAAATGTTGTCACTGATGCTCTGAGGCCTGACGACTGCACTCCACGTCAGAGCGACTCCTACTTTCACACTGGCATGACGAGAAGCAAAGTCGTCTGACTCGCTGGCAGGGTCTTCCATGGACCGCACACTGGAAGTCATCACTACAATTATAGTCACTGTGGCTATGGTCAACGGATGCTAGTGGGGCTTGCATCAGGTCAGCATTGGGGGCAGGTTGCAATGTCGTCGCTAAACTGTTCTCCTTGCTGGGACCCCCGTCGCCTTTCAAGAGTAGAATCGCAATCCATCGCAACGTTCAGAGCCGGAAAAGAATCGCCCCACAAAGCTGTGTTCCACCCCACCTTCAAATCAAAAATCAACACGTGTCCGCACTGACAGTGACAGACCGCAAAAATGGCGCCCATCAGCTGATGTCCTCCAAGCGCAAGACATTAGCCGGCCCAAGCGAAGGAGGCTTAGCTTTCGAAGCCAAACGCACGTGGCCTAAGTTTTGGCCAAGCGGGTGTTACGAGGCCTCCGGACGGCTTGTAAGCCAACGGGCTGCCACGACGAGATACTCTACCATCGCTCCCATCACCTGCAGGTCAAGATGCTGTTCTGCAAACCGCAACTCTTGCAAAGTACTTTAACAGGCGGGTGCTTGCACGGCGCTGGAAACATCTGCACTGCAGCCTGATGCTTTGACGCGCTCCAGGTCTTCCCTGGACGGTTGATAGAGGTGACACCTGCCTGACAGATGACACGAGCTCTCATGGCTCTCTTCCCTCCTCTGGGTAAGCAGAAGCCAGCAGCCCGTACCTCGAGGTGCCCCTCGCCCAGCGCTCCGAATACTCACAGGGAGAAGGCCTGCAGAGTGGACAAGAACTTCTTGGTTGCTGACGTGTTGTGCTGCACTAGGAAAATTCTTGGCGTCAGTCCTGCGCTTCAGTTACGGGCACAGGGGGGCCCATGCTCAAGCTACTTCTGCCGGCCGGGGCAGTACCAGGCACACGCTCCCTACAAAATCTGCTAAGGCCAAAGAAGGCCACAGAATGCCACAGAGTCACTGCGCGGCCTGGATGCGCGAAAAAGCATCGCCTCAGCTAATGTCGGCCCAGGTGGAGCTCATGACAATACGGAAGCGCTCCCACAGTGCATCCGGATAAAGTTGCGGACGGCTGGGAGAGCAATGACAGCTGGCTGGTTCGGCACACCACAGGCCTGCACCGACAAGCCCTGCAGGAACTTCCGCCTCTATGCTCATGACTTGTCTCTACATTAAATCTGCGTAGCAGCTTGGGATGTTTATCTGGCGCGAAAGGAAAGGTACCACTACTGGGGCACGGATTCTTTGGCAGCATGATACCTTCCTACCTGGATGGCATGAATGGGGTGGGACATGTGCGGGCGGAAGCGGTACTGAATGCCCTGCCGCACAGCATCGCCCGACACATTCACAGAATTGACAACAGGCGCTGTACGAAATGAAATAACCCCCTGACCAAGAAGTACCCGGCGAGGTCGACGGATAACGAGCAGAGAAGCAAGTTCGGTTGAATTCTCGGCCTCTGATAGTGGTCAATCGCAGCAGGAAGGGCTCCTGAGCAGCTTCGAGGGATGCTGTCGGAACTTTTGGTACTGCCCCCAGACCCCAGAAACAAAGCAACACACCACTCAGCTAAGACCGGAGCTCCAGTCAGGTGTATGAGGAGAATGTACCCCGAGCCTTGTTCTCCAACTCCCCATAAGCACCGCAAGGTCCTTCCTGCAAGAGATCTTGGCACGCCACAGTTCGAAGTTCGGGCGCTTGGCTGGCGGTCGGCGTAGAAAGCGGGACTGGCACTCCGCGCCCTGGGGTTTTGCTCTATGTGTGACAAGAGTGGCACGATGAGGACACTTGGCTAACATCCGACCAGTCGCAAGCGCACAAAGCCGACGCGGCCTGCTGCCCTTCAACACAGGGGACAACAAGCGGGCCTCTTGAGCTGACTGCTGCTGGCCAGCTTGGGTGTCCGGAAAATCAAAAGGAAACTCCGGCCTGGAGAGGCAGAACATAAGATCCGCTCAGCTCGTCTTTCTTCCGGGGTTCAGGCAAGGCTGCATCAGAGAGTAGGGAGTGACGGTCACGCACGCCGACCGCTCGACAGCCGGCAAAGTAGCAGCGCAACCTCATGAGTTTTGCTCATGATATGGCAGTACAAATTTCCATAAAAATCTTGAGGTGTTGGCCAAAGCTTGTGGCAAGCACCTGGCAGGGATAAATCGTCGTCCGCACGCAGGACAAGACCCTTACATTCCTGACCCTGGAGGCAGCATGCGGAGCAATCACACAACAGCTGAACGCTCGGGGTACCTGCTGCAAGAATCACGTCGACACCAGCAGCACAGTCTGCCATCCTTCCACCTCCGCGGAAGATGAAAAGGAGACTCAGGCCGGCATCCTGGCAAGAAACTTCCGTTGCACATCTGTGCATGTCTCCTAGGTCCTAGCGCTGCTCCGACAACGTATGACAACTTCAGCACCAGGCCACTGAAGCATCTGTCAAAGAGCCATTCCACAAACGACCTCCAATCTGCCACTATCGTCATGTTACGCGCTGGAAGACATTCGACCAACCAAATCTACTAGAGCTGAGCTGTGGGCTCTGCTGCACCGTCTGTGGCCAGTGCGAAAGCCTCCATCAAAAATTACTTTACTTCGAACTTCCTCACCCTCTCTTGGTAGAGATACTCTGGGGTTGGACGCTCCAGCAACACTCTGGGGCTGGGCACTCTGGGGACAATCTGTTATATCCCTCAAAATTCTAAAGAAGAAGATATTGCCGCCTCGAATTACGAGAACACGAAGAATCCAACCAAAATTAGAGATAAAAGACAGGTTCATCCGAATGCTCCTACTTCTAAAACGCAAATTTAATATTCTATGAATCTTATTCATATAAAGTAGGGAGGAAGGGAAGAATTATGTTATATAAGAAAAGGTAATTTTATATCAACATATTTATGAATTTATTCATAAGGGAGACTCTGGGGTTGGGCACTTCAGGGAGACTTTGGGGCTGGGCACTCACTGTGGGCTTGGGCACTCTGGGGAGACTCTGGGGTTGGGCACTTCAGGGAGACTCTGGGTTGGGCACTCCCGGGAGACTTTGGGGTAAGAGACTCGGGGCTGGGCACTCCGGGGACACTCTGGGGTCGGGCACCCTAGGGAGACTCTGGGGTTGGGGTTTTCTGGGGTCGGGCACTCCAGGGACACTTTGGAGTTGGGCATTCCGGGGACACTTGGGGTTCCAGGGATGAGCGAGGAGTAGACTGGGCGAGGAGAAGAGTTCCGGGCGAGGAGAAGAGTTGAGTTCAAAATCTAACAACCCCACACCGAGGGTGGGGAACAAATGGCGCGGGTCTTTCACGTCCCTCATCATCACGCTCTCTCTCTCTCTCTCTCTCTCTCTCTGTCGCTCTCACTCTCTTCTTCTTCTCCTCGCTTGATAGGACCCGCAAAAAAAGGTCCCGGCCGCGACGGCCAAGCGGTTTGCGGTCCGGTAGCGGGCCCCGATTTCAGCTCTCTCACTCTCGGGGTATGCGTTACAGACTCAGTCGGTGTGAAAAGAAGGAAAAGGTCATAGGACGGAAGCAACCAGGGGAAACAAACCCAAGATAGACAAGGTAAGTACGAAAGGATGAACCAAGTTCCCCCCACCCTTCTCGGAGCGAGCGGTACAAACGTGCATCCCCATAGGACTCTTTGGTGTCCCCATGGGTCTACCGAAGTTGTGTGTGTTTTACCGCCCCGAATGAAACTGCTGCTCACGTTTGCTTCTCCCCTGACTACAGATTTGGTAGTTGGGGAATGTAGAAAACTCGCTATAGATTGGTAGCAGTATAGGGAAGGTGAGTGTGCCTGTTCATGGCTCCCCATCCTCCAACAAACGAAACCCCCACCTCAACGAACAACACCCGGGACCCGCGAGGAGGACAGGGAGCAAAAGTGACTTTCTATGTGAGTTCCTATCAAATTTACAGTACTCCCGGAAAGCATTTACACAATTAAGACTGTTTCCTTCAGTGCATTTCCCATCTCCCTCAGTTGACCTCGCCGGTCGGTCCCGCATAGTTGTTCTTCATGGGGCTATGTGGACATAGTCGCGGTAGTGGCTTCACGTTTAGTCCCACGGTGCTGCTCCGATCGGCCTCCGCCTCCAAGGGTTGGACTTCGTTCCTGGCGGGCGTCGCTGTTGCCATGGTTTGGCCTCCCCGATGGGGCGCCGGTGTGGCCAGTGCTGTTCTTCACCCCCGTTTGACTCTGCAGGGTGGTGGGACCTATATATATAGGTGGTCCCGTGGGTTCGCTTGGTCGTAGGCTGCCGACTTTCACCATGTCCTCCCTGTCGACGAAAAGCTTGCTGTGTCTCGCTCCGTGGCCCATGGTGTTTCACATGGCCTCTCTCTCTTTATTTCTTTCTTTTTTTCTTTCTTTCTTTCTTGCTTGCTTTCTTGCTTTCTTTCTTGCTTTCTTGCTTTCTTGCTTTCTTGCTTTCTTGCTTTCTTTCTTTCTTTCTTTCTTTCTTTCTTTCTTTCTTTCTTTCTTTCTTTTCTTTCTTTCTCTCTCTCTCTCTCTCTCTCTCTCTCTCTCTCTCTCTCTCTCTCTCTCTCTCTCTCTCTCTCTCTCTCTCTCTCTCTCTCTCTCTCTCTCTCCTGCACGCATAGCCCCCCCCGAAGGGAAGGCCGCCCCGAGAGGCGCGCGACGTCCAAGGGTCCGTCTGAACGGAAGGCCCACGGTATTCGTGGCCCACCAAACGTGTCACAGGAACGTGGTGCCCCTCATGTTAACCGGTGTGTGAACCTGAAGAAACCTGGATCCTTCAAACCCCAATCCCCCCGCAATTCCCCAACTTGTTGAGGTTTCCCACTCTGTACTTCCTGTGCAGTCTATGCCTTCTGTACGCGACAGAGATGTTCCTTGACTACCCTGCTCGTCTACTCCGCCTGGCTAGGGGTTGTGGCTTTCCTCGTTGCAAACCAGTAGTAAAGGGGGAAGTTTTGACGGCATCCTACAAACACACCACACTTGAGGTCCCCCACTCTATGTCCCCTTTCTGGCCGGCGTTGTTGGTTCTATTCTAATCACTGCTTGCCCCTACATGTGTTCTTCGGCGTCTCGAGTCGTGATCGGGTAGTTGGGAGCCGCGGCGTTGTAGTCCCCCATGTGTTATCGTTCGCCCTTCCCCCGACGTGTCGCTTCTCGGTGAGGTGAACTCCTGTGCAGTCCGGCATCTCAGATCACCTCTTGGACCAGGAGGACATGCAGATCCCTTAGGGATGGTGCCCCCGTGAGTGTTTCACAGAGGTCAAGTACATGTGGCACTTGCAGTCCCCCCACATTCCATGATGCGAGCGCATGTTGGCCCCCATCTGCTCGGTGTCTGCTTCGGTGAAACTTTGGAGCCCCCAGTCATAGGCCTTGGCGGATCCTCTCCCAGGTGCTCTGCACCGTTGTGGGTTCTTCGCGAAGAAGTCGTGCTACTTCTTGGAGATGGATCCATCCGGCCCCCGCGGTCGTGGTGTTGGGAGGCGCAGAGGCGGTGGCCGAGGCAATTTTGACCCCATTGAGCCACACTGTGCCTGTTGCGAACTCTGCTTCTACTCGCCGGGGATCTCCTCCGTGTTCCAGCGCAAGTCGTTTGGCCTTGCCAGCAAGTTTGGCTTTGGCTCGGCGTTGTGGACTTTGACTTACGGCTAGCCAAAGCTTCTGGCGCCCCCCGTCTGCTTTCGCCCCCAGGATGAGATTGGCGTTGCGGACCTTCTGGAGGGCATTCTGAATGCGTTGGCGGTGTTGTTCTTCACTTTCATCGTCTTTGGGGCGTATCGGGATGATGGCATACCCCCTCCGAATTCCTGGGACAAAGGCCGCCCCCATATCGATGTCGAGCCTCAATTGACTCGCTGTGTTCTGCGCGTTGTGAAGGGTCTCCGAGGCCGGTGTGTCTTCGGGCCATCCCCCCATAATAAGCGCAGGCTGGCGGCGTTCTTCTTCCCCCGAGGATGCTCCTGATGCTCCTCCCCCCAAGGCCCCTCCATTCAGCTGTCCGAACTTCCCCTCCAGGAGGGCCAGTCTCTCCTTGAGTCGTTCCTGTTCTTGAGTGATCTCGTCCGTGGCGGTCTGCTGCTGTTGTTGGGCCTGGTCAATGCGGTGGATGGTTTGAGACTGTGCCGCATGTAGAGCTTGAAGTTCTTGGAGGATGCGAGCGGTGTCCCCCATTTGTCCTCGTACCTCTGGGTTCACAGCTTGTCCTGCCCCTCCTGCCCCCATCGTCTGGAGTAGTGTGGTCATGGCGTTCTCGGTGTCCCTGCCAAGTCACGTCCGTTACCGCGAACTTCCCCCTGGCGAGGTAGACGCCGCTCAGAATCTGGTCGCCCCCCTCCAAGTCGCAAAGGCCGCCGATCACGGTGTTATAGTGGTACTCAGTGTCCCCCGCACGCCTCAGGTAATGCAGGAGCACGGCCAGCAGCGGTTGCCGTTGAGCTTCGTTCCCCCCGGCAATGGTGGTCAGAACCCCCGGCGGGAAGACGCGTAGTTGGCCCCCCTGGTAGTAGAGCGGGCGATGCTATGCAGGCGCGGGGGCAGCTGTCTGACAGCGGAGGCCTCCCTCTCTTTCCCCCCCCCTTCTCTCTCTCAATCAACTACAGAGTTTTTGATTGTTTTGCCCACAGGACGGCGGGCTGGGGCTCGAGCCGCTCGTCGCTCTTGAGCCAAAATGGCTTGAGCCAAAATGGCTACGGCTCTCTCTCTCTCGCTCGGGGCTCCCTTCTTTTGCCATGCAAGGAATGCTTCACATTTGCCCGAGGGCGCTGCCAGTCCTTGCTTCCGCCTCTGTCTCCTTGAGTGCAGACCCTGCAGCAGCGATGCGATTTTGAACTTCTTGAGGACGAGCAGAACAGAGTCTGTGCCTGCCAGCTGGCCGGCCAGGCACCTTGCCTGGGCAAAGCACGTGTACCATGGCACCCTCTATTTGCAACCTTTCACGCTTGAGTGCTTCACACTGGGCCAAGAGTGACTCCTGCCGTGCATGCGACGTGGCAACAGAAGGATGTTTGCCCCACCGTTTCTTACGTGAAGCTCCTCCACCTCTACAGCAAGAATAGCTCCGCTTGGTGGTATCACACGCATACCGCTAGCAGCCGCAGACACCTAGCACTTCGCCATCTGACTGAATGAAAAACACTAGTGATCACTAGTGGCCCCCGATGCCTGTTTCCACAGTTGTGTTGAAGCAGAGTCTCGGCAAGCCTTCCGTCTTGCACAGCATAATAGCACGCTCCGATGCAAACTTGCAGCGCTGCTCACATGCGATATGGCATGAATGGTTTCCACTCGCCCACCCGACCTCTGGTGGAA